CCAATACAAAACTAACATATCCATATCTAAATCACTTGTATCACTATAGCTAGTAAGTACAGTAAACCAGAATTTTTTACAGTAAATACTATAGAAATCATGTTCATTCAAATATAAAACTAATATATCCATATCTAAATCACTTGTATCACTATAGCCAGTAAGTACAGTAAACCCAAATTTTTTACAGTAAATCACTATAGAAATCACATTTTTTTCAATACAAAACTAACATATCCATGTCTAAATCACTTGTATCACCACAATAGTCAGTAAGAGTTTTTACAGTGAATCACTATAGAAATCGTGTTCATTCTAATACAAAACTGACATAGATCAATTGTATCACTATAGCAAGTAAGTACAGTAACTGAATTTTTTATAGCAAATCAAAAATATCACCAATTCTAAGCAAAAATTAATTATATGTTAATCTATGATAGGCAGTATGTATTAGCTATTTTTTTACAATTGTAGCTTTTGATTATTATTATACTGTATTAATTATGGTTTAATATTAAGATTAAAAAAAGAATTTCATAATTGGACAAGTAACAATCATGACATTGATCAATTAATTCAACAAACACAACTTAGTGGAGTGATGTTTGAAGACATTGAATGGATACCCTTTAGCAAATTCACAAATATAAAATATCTTGCTAAAGGAGGCTTTGGTACCATTTTTAAGGCAGTATGGATTGACAGATATATTACTGGATATTGGGAAAATAAATGGAGTAGAGAGAGGCAAATATATGTTTGTTTAAAGGGACTTGATAATTCTAAAGATATAAAACAAGAATTTTTAGAAGAAGTAAGCATTATAATTTATTATTAAAGTGTAATAATTATATGACAGATCTGAAGCTGGAAATTAGGAACTTGATTTAAAAATATAAACTCTTTTATTATAAAAGCTAACTCTAAACCCTAACCTAACTATTAAAAAAGCTAAAAAAATATGCTCCCAAAAAATTTTTGGAAATTTGATATTAAAATATTTAAATTTTCAGCTTTAGCTGAGATATTATATTTTATTTTATGAATATTTTAGGTAAAAAAATCAACAAAAACATGGGGGCAATTCTGCAATTACGATTTATAGAATAACCAAGAACCCAAAAGATGGTAACTACATAATAGTTATGAAGTACGCAAAGCAGGGAAGTTTCAGAAAATTATTAGATAGTAGATATGATGAATTAGACTAGGCTTCTAAAATAGCTAACCTATATTATATAGCTGATGGGCTTAATACAATTCATAAAGCCAAATTAATACATAAAGATTTTCATTCTGGAAATATAGTTAATCAAAATATATTTGGTTTTTACATTACAGATTTTGGCTTATATAAACCAGTGTCACAAGACTCAAATTCTAAAGCGCTTTTTGGTGTGCTTCCCTATATTGCTCCAGAGGTATTATATATAAATAGAAAAGAATACACTCAAAAGTCAAATCTTTATTCTTTCGGAATAGTTATATCGGAAGTTTTTACTGGATATCCTCCATATCATGATATTCCACACAACGAAGATCTAGCAACATGTATTTGTCTAGATTACAGACCTAAAATTAGATGCGAAGTTCCTCAATAACTTTTGAATCTGATAAATAAATGCTTAGATGCAGAACCGCAAAACTGACCAACTGCTGAAGAATTAGCTAATACATTGAATCAATTTTTTGTTAATTTGAAAAATAAAAAAACTAAATTATTCAAGCAAATTAAAAATATTGAAGACATAGACAAAAGTTTTATAACATTTAATCAAGCCAGTTTGGCACAATTAAAATATCAAACACATTCACAAGCTATTTATACAAGTAGATTTTTAAATTTTTCAAAACTCTCTAAACTAGGTAATAGCATTTATTGTATTTTAAAAAGTTAGTAATATGTTATTAATTGTATAAATTTCTGAATTAGTCAATATAGTAATGATGTTTATTTTCTTAAACTTGATTTAAACTGTTGTTTTAATATATGTATATGTTTAGAAAGTCAATGCATTGATGATTTTAAAATTTCCGATCTTATGTAGTATTTGATTTATTTATAATTAACCAAATTCATTGCTAATTTTTATATTGAAGTTTAGATTATTAAATAATGAAAAGAAGGTTATTAAATTGGAAGCATTCTATTTTTTATTGTTATGCTATAATAATTCAATATTTGTTATATAGGGGGTCCCACAGCAAAAGGTGGCTATGGGCTAGCCAATCAAAATTTAAGATTTTTATTATAATAATTTATTTACAAATCCTATATTTAAATTTTTTAGTAAAAAATTAATTTTTTTTAACACTATTATCATAGTTAATATTAATCATGTGATAATCTTCACTCATGATTTGGACGATCTATGAACCAGATGGTCTACGGGCTAGGGATACCACCGATTTGCGATAGCATAATTTGCGCATAAATCAGATTATATCGCTAAAGCATATGCGATATCATATTGGCATATTAGGGCTAATTTTATATAATTATTAGAGCATAATTTGCACATAAAATGGTAAAATTAGAGCAGAATAAGGACGTTTTCAAGTGCCTAAATTAATAGATCAAAGTATGCCAAAAATGTATTAGGAATTAAATTTTAATTAATGGAAAGCAATTTTAATTAATCAATCGAGTTTGTTATTAAGATGAGTAAGGTAGTTTATTATGTGAAAAATTTTTTTAAATAGTAAAAAATGAGAAGTGAGTTTGCCATTTTAGTCAAAAAACCTTTTGTCCCTAACCACCTTTTTTTTGCCCTGACTTATTAAAAACTTTATTAATAATAAAATGAATAAAGTATTGTTCAAGTATTTTTATACTTTAATTATAGATTTTCATTATCCATTTGTATTTTTTGTAAAATTTTAAATAAACTATTTAGGATCTTATCAACTTATGATTGAAATTTTTATTTTGACCCATCGTTGCAATTGAGTATCACAACAATTATTAAAAAATCATAGTAATAGCAATGTTTGAATATATCTCAATAATATCGTCATTCGTATTATTGACTTTTATCCAAAATGCTTAACACAAGCTTGTGAATTAAGTTTCTATAATGAGTTATGGGGCATTTTTTGCTGTAATACATTATAATTACAGTAAGCATTCACACCTCTAGTCGCAATTATAATTCAGAACCAGCTGTTTAAGATATAAAAAATGAAATTTTAGTTGCAACTTTTCGCATAATTTTACTTGATTCGCATAATTTGCAGCATAATTCTAGAAATTTATCACATAATTTGCATAAACTGTTTTGTAAAGCAGGCAGAATTTGGGTCTTATCATAGCAGAAAATGAGGATCCCTACTACAGGCACGTACCAAATCACGTGATTTTGCACGTACCTGTATATCACGTGATCTGTATATATGAACGAACTACAAAATGACACATGAGAATTTTTAATAAAAATTTAAACAGCAAAAATAAATAAAGTATAAAATAAATTAAACTAGAAAAAATAAACCAAATAAGGATAGTAAATAAAATCTTAAACAAATAATGAGCAAATAAATTAGCCTACAAAAATAAAATTAATTGCTTAAGGTAAATTATCGATAATATAATATTGCAATGTCCAATTTGAATTTAGCTAAAAATCAGAAATATACATTATTCTGAATATACTGACAATTTTTTTATAAATAAAAAAATACAAAATGTCAATACAGTAAATTATACTGATATTTATTTATACTAGAATTTTAAGAAAAATGACAGATATTAATAGAACTTAATCAACAAATTCTAATTAAATTGTATGCAATATGATGTAATAGAGATATTATAAAAAACATTGTTTACAAAAAAAAAAAATTAATTTTTATTTTCTTTGCTTTTGAAATTTTCAAAAAAAGCACATACCTATTACACTTTTGTCATTATTTAATAAAAAAAGATATACCTACCATTTGATACAAATATTTTCATTATTTTAATAAAAAAGCACAGACCTATAATTTGATGTAAATATTTTTGTTATTTTTTAATAATAAAACGTTTAATATTACATCTTTTACTGTATAAATTAGCATACTTACTTGTTAGTTGAACTATACGCATAGCTATATCACATATATTATATTTCTATATATGTGCAGCATTTTAATTTAGAACCATAATGACTAAGCCAATCATACCAAAGGTAAATGATGAGTTCGAATCTTTAGAAGCTTTCAAAGATGCTGCTAAATCAGCTGCTAAGTATAGAGGGTTTGCTTTTTCAAGAAAAGATAGCAACCTTACTAGATGTAATGGCAAGTCACCTTTTGTTGTTTTACAATGCATGAAAGGTGGTGAATAGCGTAACTGTTGGAATATAACAGAAGAAACTCAAAAAAGAAAAAAGAATACTAAACATGATAGTTGCTCTGTATGTATTAAAGTTACAGCAACAAAATGTCAATTAGTTACAAATATTTGAAATACTGAAATAATGTGGGTTGTTATGAAGGCTGAATTTAAACATAATCACTCCATGCTTGAATCAGAAGAAGTTGCAACTTTTTCTCAATATTGTTCTATGAGCTTAAGTCAAAAATTCTTGTAAAACAGTTACATGATAATAATACATCTACTCGGGTTATAACAGCAGCTGTTAACAAGTCTATGGATAGTGAAATGATTTTTTCAAAGAATATTATTAATAAACGTGCTCGTATTAGACTTGCTTTGAATGAAGGTTACAATAATGATTCTACACAAACATTATTAAGACTTTTTAAAGAGTGAGATTATATGGTTGTGGCTCTTAAAGTAGCAAAGAGATATTTAACCTACCTTTTTTTCACATATAGAAGTAGCTAAATACGCTGCTAAGTGTCCTGAGGTTCTTATTGTGGACTCCACATATCAAACCAATATCTATAAATATCCTCTTATTAGTGCAGTTGGTATTAATAATATTAGTAATAAAAGAGGGGCATTAGCATCATATCAAATTGCAATAGCCTGGATTGAAGATGAAAGTAAGACATCATATATGTAGTTCTTGCAAACACTTCACAAAAAAATTTATGACACTTATTGTTGCTTACTAAATGTTTTTATATCTGATAGAGATCAGGCATTATGAAATGCTTTAGATAAAGTATTTCTGGAAACTGATAAGATGTTGTGTGTTTGGCATCTTCTGGAACAAAATTTAAAAGTTAATTGTCGCAAACTTTTTAAAACTGATAATGATTATGAGGCATTCAAGAAAGAGGTTGAAGCATTATGATTTACAGAAAAAGAAGAAGAAATTCTTCAGTCTTTGAATACTATTAAAAAAGCTGCAAAAAAAGCACACTCTCCTGAAAAAATTGAATTATATATTCAAACGTGGATGAAAGATTTAAAAATGTAAATATTGGCCTATACTAAGTGGTTTTGTCATATGGGAATATTAACTATAGGGCAAATTGAGTTATCCCATAATGCATTTAAATGATCAATTGAGACAGCAAGTAATTTAAAAAGTGTATTTCATCAGATTAATCAAGAAATGCATTTACAGCATCTAAAAGCAGCAATATGTACGGGTTCAAACAAAGTAGCTATTAATTCATTTACTCTTTGTAATCCTATATTTTGTGAACTCATTAGAAATATATTAGCATATGCAATTAACTATATAAAAAAAACATTACAAAAAAAAACTAACTGTGCATAAGAATGCTGAAAAATATGAATGCTTAACCAAAATTAATTTTAAATTACCTTGCAAGTATATAATTCCAATACATTACCCAATTTCTTTATCAATCATTGACAAAAAGTGGCTTCTTAAGAGGCCTGATGTAATAGAGCTTCCACATTCCTCAAAATCTGCTATTATTAACTCAGAATTTTATAATGTTTTTATTGACACAGAAAAGAAATTTTAGCAATTGCTAGATGATATTACTAGAACAGAATTTATTACAAAAATTCACAATGCAATAAACATACCATTATCTGAGACTACTAAGTTGCCACTAAAAAAAGCACCAAAATCAGATACTAAATAAGAATTGCTTCGAAGTAAATGTGAAGATATTGCTGCAAAAAAAAAAAAAAAAATACTAGACAATACAACAAAATTTAAAAAAAACCAAACTATTCAGCAATCAAATACACCTTTAAACCAAATTTTTAATACTTCTCAACCTTCAAATTCTAAACAATTTGAGATAAATATTCCAAAATTTATGAATGAATATTTTTCAGCATATATTGATGTGAAAGAGAATGGTAATTGTGGTTTCCGTGCTATTGCTATTTCAATTAGAAAACCTGAAGACTACTGGCTAGAAGTTAGAAAGCTTATCTATAAAGAACTCTGCACTCGCAAGTTTTATTATATTCAGTTGTTTTTGGAAAAAGAAAAGGAGTATGACAAGATATTATTTACAGTACAATGGGAAGCTGGCTCTTGCGGTAAAAACCATTGGATGTCTATACCCTCTTTTGAATATGTCATTGCCAACACCTTTCAATGACCTATTTACTATTTCAGTAAATATCTTTCTCTCATATTTATTCCTGATAATATATCACTAAATTGAAATATATCAATTACCTTCATTTATATTCATGAAAGGCAACATTTTATAGCTGCAAAACTTAAGCCAAATGTACTGTTCCACCTATTGTAAATACTTGGGAAGAAATATATTCTAAAAACTGCATTATATGAAAAACTTTATTCTTAGAAAGAATAGCTTGGTTTGAGAAAGAATATAAAAAAGAGTGCAAATATTTGCAAAAGAAAAATTTAGAATGTGATAGTATAATTGTAGACTGAATGAATCAAAGTTTCTCACATATTAATGTTGCAGTCTTGATTTTTTAAATAAAATATCCTACAATTCATATATATAGTTGCTATATAAAACTAATATCTTGTTTGAAAAGTAAGGTTTTTAGCATATATGCATAAATGTTATATAAATTGCTATATAAAAACAATTTATTCGTGCTAATTTATTTACCCTGCATATCAGTATAGTTAGATATGTATCTGGTATATATGTATATACATACATATGGATCATGTGATATACAGGTACATGCAAATCACGTGATTTTGTACGTGCCCGTAGACTGTCCGTCTACGGACACATACCAAATCACATGATTTTGTATGTACCGGATATTATGTGATATAGACGTACATGTAAGTTGTCGAAGTAAAATTTTTTAAAATTTTTGACAAATTTTATTGACAACTAACTAACTGAATTCAATAAAAAGTTTTGAATCAATTCTATAAATTAGTAGAATTGATTTAAAAAAATTTTCATCAAATTTTATCAAGTAGTTGTTAAAAAAATTTGATTCTAAGATTGAAAAAAATTACTCCGTCTTAAAAAAAAAATAGTTGCGCAAAAAATTTATAAACTTTGAATGAAAATTTCTCAACAATTAACTGATAGAATTCAAAAGAAATTATTTTAAATAACTTCTACGAGAAATATAAAAATATAATTTATTTTAAAAAAATTTTCATTGAATTATATTGAGTATTTGTCAAGAAAATCTCATTCAAAGTTTGGAAAATTTTTCACCGCCCTTAAAAAAATAGCTGTAACAAAATTTTAAATGACAACTACTTGATAAAGTTTTCAATAAAATTTTTTTAAAATAAATTCTATGATTTAACAAAATTTATTTAAATAAGTTAGTATCAAATTTTATCAAATAGTTGTTGAGAACTTCCATTCAAAATTTAAGAAAATTTTTGCCATAGCTATTTTTTTAAAGGTAATGAAAATTTTTCCAAATTTGAATAAAGCTTTCTCTTGATAAAATTTGATGAATTTTTTTTAAAATGAAATCTATTAATTTATAAATGTTATTTAAAAAAACTCTATTGAATTATATCAGATAGTTGTTGAGAAATTTTCATTCAAAGCTTAGAAATTTTTTGCACAACTATTTTTGATGGAAATTTTTTTCAATCATTGAATCAAAATTTCTCAACAGCTACTTGATAAAATTTGATGAAAGTTTTTTTAAATCAATTTTACTAATTCATACAATTGATTTAAAAAACATTTAGTTGATTATTTATCAAGAAAATTTGTCTAAAATTTTAAAAAATTCTACTTTGACAATTTATGTACATTGTGAGAGGGTAAATTGTGGCTTGAATTCATTTTTTGATGTAGTCAATTGAGGTGGTCCAGAAAAGATCGACCATATCTGTCAGATATGACAAATATGTCAGATCTGTCATATCTAACAGATATGTCAGATCTGTCAGATCTGACAGATATGTCAAAATTATTATATCTGTTGGATATGTCTGATATGTTATATAGGCTATATAGATTAGATACATTATATCTATTATATCTATTAGATAGGTTATATTTGTTAGATAGATTTTATATGTTATATATATTAGGTAAAATTAGTAAATCATATCATAGCCAAATAATGTATATAAGGCCCCAGAGTTTGCCTTAAATAAAGACATCTCAGTAATAAGCTTTTAACACTTGCTAAGTATCATTGTGCATAGAATTATACACATTTGTTTTCCCAAAATTCTGATAAATAAACTATCTTACAAACCTTGTGACTACAAATTAGAGCCTTGTAACATAGTTTAGAGCTCTATTTGGCCCTAATAACTTGGACCAAGTCTTTTCATGCCCTCTTTCATGCCTACCACTATTAGAGTTCAGTAGAGTTTAGTGGGTTTAGAGTGTTGATTTGGATTAGTTTTATCCTAATCAATATATGTAAAGCCTTATTTTGATATTAGGGTTAATTTAGCCCCTTACAATTTGGTAGTAACTGTGAGATACTTACTTCTTAACCTACCCGAATTGAAACATAAAAAGAATATTTATCTTAATGAAGATCCCCAAAATTTGCAAAAGTTTAAATCACCTTAGAGACAAAAAAATTTCCAAAAAGAAACCCAATGCACCTATTGTGAAATAAAAGGATATATAATTAGCAAATGTCCACAAGTAAAGATGTTTGAAAAACAATATGCTGCTCTATTTGAGGCACTTACTGATAAACAATTTACCAAATTCCAAAAGATTATAAACAAAACCTTTGAAAATGATTATGTCAATGACTTACAACTTCCCAGGCTTTTAAATTAGTGTTGGAAATATTAGAAAACATATTGGATAGGAAAAATGAGGAATCGTGCCAATAGTCTACTTATTCTGGTATATTAGAATATTTTCAACTCCAAAAAAACAAAATAGACAATCCAACCAAATTCACCCAGGTTAAAGAATTTCAAAATTTTAGAATGTATACAAAGCTCTATGATTGTTTCCAAAACTAAAAGCTTACAAGAATTATGTCAAGCTAAAAAATTATATACCAATAGAAGCTATAAGCATAATGGAGTTAAAATTAAAGCAAATGAATCTAAGATACCTATTCTTTATCAAAAAACTGCTAAAGTAGACCAAGCCAATGAAGTATATATTCTTGGTCTCTGCTATATAAAGGAATTGGTGCCAAAAAAGATGAGTATAAGGCTTTATTAATAACCAAAATCAGTAAAAACTGACTACGCGAGTAAAACAGCCAAACATAATGAAATAGAAGTTGAAAAGAATCAATATAATACCTCGATCTACTATCAAGAAGCTGCTGAAATAAAGCAACCTGATGAAACTTGCAATATCCTTAATGTATATTACAATAAGAAAATGGAAGCTGAAATTAAAATAAATAATGATAAGGCACAAGCTTATTATCAAAAATCAGTAGAAACAAATAATTATAATCAAACAATTGAATCTGAAAACGAAATAAAGAACAAAAAGAAAGTTTTGGCAGATTGCCAAAGCTTTACTAAAGTGGAAGTTGAAAATGATTAAAAGATACTAACCAATTATCAAGAGTTACAGGAAACTAGAAAAATATCTGTCCTAGCAGGTATAATGGAATAGGTATTAAAATGGATAAAAGAACTTTCAAATTAGAAAAAAAACCCAATTACAGTGCTTGACAAAAGTTTCCTCACACCTATATCTTCTCATAGAGAAGTGCTATGGCCTTGAAACTTTTGCAAAATTAGTACGTACATAGTTTAGATCATGTGCATTTTTTGAAAATTTTTTAATTACAAGAAAAAAGTTTGTATGAGAGCTAAAGTTGGGATGCTTTTTTTTAAAAAATAAAAAAATTAATTGAAATTAAAGAAAAATTAATATATCATTAAGAATTAAAGTTAATAGGTA